GGGCCTGTCTACCTGTTCAATTCTCTCCTAGAGCTGTTCTCAGGATTCAGCACGTATGTTCATTCTGAACTACAAACATCCATGTGTGTCCTTTTTTTTAACTCGCCTAGACCTTTATTGTTTTTAAAGTTTTAGTAGCACTTGAAACACGTCATGCAATTCAATAATTGTCATATCAAGAACAATTATGATTGTCACCATATTCAATTCTAGAACATTTTATTCATCATCAAGGTTATTCATGTAATTATTTTTTTCTAATTGTGGCAAAAATAAACAGAACATTCTCCAATTCCACAACTAATACTTTTATAATTCAGCATCATTGATTATACTCTTCATTTATACAACCATTACTGATTTCCTTGTCCAAATATTCTACCACCACTGACGCAAACTTGATGACCGCTACACAAGTCTCTCCCCTTCACCGCTGGTGACCACTGGTAAAGTCTGGTTTTTTTCCTTGTGTCTTTGATATTCACATGTCATACACTTCCATGGTTAAATGGCTTTTTAAATGAGTTGTATATATGTCAGCACAATCAGTTCTAGTGCTGCTTCCTCCCTCCCACATTCATTGTTTGCTCCCCAAATCCCCTCTATCTCCACCCCTGTCCCCGATACACCATTGCATCAGTTACCATCCATGGGTTGCTTTACACCATTGCATCAGTTACCATCCATGGGTTTCTGGCCCCTATTTGCCCTGGAGCTGCCTCTGGGTGCCTTGACTCTCTCCATGGGTCTTAGCTACAGTATCTGGTTATTAAACAATGTCTTCCCTCCCCTGATCCTTAAATACAGTGGTTTTCAAACTCAGATTGTAGCAGCGGAACCAGATTGTTCAATGGAATCCACCAGTGTAATACTCTTAACATCTAAAACATGACAGCAACTCCATTACTTATTTTCAGTTGAAGCAGGGTGGGGCCCAAAGGCCTGATGTTGACCTTTCGCCTCAGCCTTGCCAAGCTTCCTTCGACTCAAACAAAATAGAATGGCATAGTTAAAAATGACCCTTTTGAAAAAAATGTTTTAATTTGGCATCTAAATAGGTAATTTCCCAGTGGTGTTTATGCAGCAATAACAATGGTAGCCTCTCCAACAAATATTTTGTAAATGATCTGGTTTTTATTTAAATCATGGGATATTTTTTAAATCCCTTGCTTTATATGAGTGGACAGTGATCAGTGTTCTCCAGATGTGTGCGATCAACTGGGTTGTTGAATGGGTACTCATGAAATGAGAGGATGTTATAAGAGCTGTAAGAGCCCCCAATAAAAAAATATTAAAATTAAAAAAAAAAAACAGGTCAGTGACCGAGAATACAGGTTTAGCCCAGATGATCTATATATATGCCTTTTCCAGACTCCTAACCTTTGAGTAGATGTACCTTGAGCAAAGAGATGTTCTGAAGTAAAAATATTTTTTATATATCACTGTCTCATTGACGGGGAGATCTGAAATTATTGTCACAAGTAAAATTGGAATGCTAAGCAAAATGGAATTATTGTTTACTAAACTATTCCTTGGTCCTTGTTCATTAGACCTCAAATATTGTGAAAACAATTCGGTGCAAGGGCCTGCAACATATGGGCAATGCCAAGGTTATCAGTGGTCAAGATGACGTTTTGCAATCCTTGAATTTCACCACACTCTTGTCAGGCTTCCTAAGACACAAAATCGAATGTTTTCCAAAAAGAAAGTTGTGTTTCGGTTATGACATCCCTTTGTGTCTCCACTCCTCCTTTGGACTCCTGCCCATTTCTTTCCTGAATTCAGCCCTTCCCCTTTGTGATTCTAATCTTTTCTTTGCTTGTTTTGCCCTTCGGGAAGCAGGGAAGCAAAGCAAGTTCAGTTTTTAGGTCACAAGGAAACTAGTAGTGCCATCATTTGACATCACAGTGACTGAGACCAGAAAGTGTATTATCCAGATGCCCAAGTTAAGAGCCCGAGAATCATAATTCCTTCCTCCCCTGTGCCCCCAAATTCATACGTCACAAATTTCAGACCAGATCTCGAAGAGGAGGTTGGCCTCTTGGTTCCATTTCCACCCGATTCAGTAACCTTTCATCTGACCTCACAGTTTAACCGCTTCTCTCACCTACTTCCACACAGCAAGCAGCCAGAGGGCCCTGAGAAGGGTTCGCCTGTTTGTCACTGGTTTGTTCAAAATCCCTCAGAGGTGCTTTCCTTTTGTCGAAGACTCAGCTCGAGTTCTGAAGGTTCAAGGAGCCGATACTTAGTCCTTCAGCCAACTGGGCCTTGACACCGAAAACAGAGTCCACAGATACAACCAAGACAAACCCATTTCCAGAACTCCAGTGGGGAGGGAAAACTGGTCACTAGAACTAAGAGCAGAAGTCACAGCTGACAACATGGACCAAAGGTCGTATTGGGTGGAGCTCAGCAGCCGATGGGGCCTGGCTGGCAATTTTGTCATCGAGTCCCATGTAGGTTGTGACAGTTTGCACCGTTAGGGCAGACTGCTTCACCAAGTTGCTCGTCTGGTAAGCACTTTTTCCTACATGGCGTCTTTGGCGGGGCTTCAAAAGGTTCATGGGGAAATTCCGTTATATTTTGATTCCATTTTTCCCCTCAAACTTTTCTCCTCGTGTGTGTGGAGGAAAAATAATTGTATGAAGACACTAGCGAATACTCCACAATGGCCGCCCTTGAGCTAAAGCAGGCATTCCCAGTATGCCCTTCAATGCTCCCGGACAGCTCTGCTGCACATAGCAAAGGCAAAAACATAACCGAGCGCACTGTGAATGCTTCAAACAGTTCCAGTAACCCACCTCACTAACCGGGTAGAGCCCCCGTCTACCTCTTGAGCGGGTCTTTCCCTGTCCAGCCTTCGGCAGGTGGATGCAGTCCTGCTGTCCTGGCCTGTAAGCCCCCTAACTGCAAATGCACTGCCACCTCAGCTTGGCTCTAGGTCATTTGTCCCAGTCTTTAGGTCGCTACGTAAAGGAAGGCTCTCCCTCTTTGGGGCTGGAGCCAAAACAGATGTACCAGGACCTCGCTTCTAGGACGAAGGGGGGAAGGCATTTCTCTGGCAGCTCCCTACAGAGAAAGGTTCAAACGCCGCTTTGTCCACTGAGTCAGTGATTCATGGGGGCCCTATCTAAATGGCAAAGAGGTAAATGACTTCAGGGATGTGGGTTATTTCAAAGGTGTGTACTAAGATGACTTCTGGGTTACCCTACGGAAAAGAGAAGGGCTTGGGCAGTGGAGTAATAGGTGGAGGAAAGGAAAGTTACTCAAATTACGGGTTCAACGAATCGTGCTATGGAATGGGAAATGGCTTCTGAACAAGGATGAAGGTTTACGTTTTTGGTACGGCAAGACGGCCAGCAGCTCCGCTGAGGAAGCAAGGCGAAGAGTAACTCTACAGGTCATACTGGGCCAAGTCAAGTACGCGTGACCAGAACCCAGGTCACCTCGGGCGGGTGGTGGGCGGGGAGGCAGAAGGGTGTGATCCGACAGAAACGGGACTTCCGGTGCGCCCTGGGCCCAGCTTCCGGCGTCAGTCGGGCCGTTGCCAGGGCTCCCGACCCTGGCCGCGAGGTTACCGCGGACGGAGCAGCGGGGCCTGTTTCCGGTTACCAGGGTCCTTTCCTGTGAGGGCGCGCGGAGTGGGGTGAGAAGCCATCCCTGGCCGGAGGACGAAGGGGCGGGATCGCAGACGGCGGCTGCTCGCGTGGCTGTAGGTTGCGCTTGGTCGTGCCAGAGGGGTCGCGGACATCCCGGTCTAGGCCCCCGCCCGCCCTTCCTGGGGTCTGGACCAATCCACGCGCTCGCCTTTCCTGTGGTCTGGACCAATCCACGCGCTCGCCTTTCCTGGGGTCTGGACCAATCCACGCGCTCGCCTTTCCTGGGGTTTGGACCAATCCGCGCCCTCGCCCCGGAGGCTGTCCCGCCCCTCGGCGCCGGCCGCTTCCACGCGTGCGCAAGAGGAGGCGTCTGACGGGCTTCCGGGCCTGGGAGCGAGCCTGGCTGCAGGTCTCCCAGGGGCAGCTCGCGGCCGCGTTGTGCGTTAGGGAGGCCTCAGAACGTGCTTTGGGCCTGTACCTCGAAGCCAGCGTCTGACGGGTCAGTCTGACCGTTGCCAGGTTCAGGAACTAGGCTGGGTCACCAGGCAGTGACCTGTCGCGAGCGTCCCCGGCCCCACCGAGACTAAGCCCGCGCTCCCCCGTTGCCGCTGCTGCTCCGAATGGAGTGTCGGTGTGAGGAGATGGGGGCGGGGGGCCCGCGGATGAGTTAGTGTGGAGAGACTCTTACTCGTGGATTCCCTCCTGTCCCAGCGACGAAACCCACTGCCACCCAGTGGATTCTGACTCACAGTGACCCTATAGGACCCGGACGCTCTGTGGGTTTCCGAGACGGTCACTGGGGAAACAGAGAGCCTCATCATTCTCACTCGGGAAGGCTGGTGGTGTTGAACTGCCGACCTTGAGGTCAGCAGCGGACTCGGAGTCATGCATGTAGTGCATGCAGGCGCCCTTATTGGCACCTTGCTAAAACATGTGTAGTGGGAGTGGTTACGCGTCTTACCGGGGTGCTCTGAGTCGACATAGACTGCACGGACAGGAGTGAGCAAGTTAAAACAGGCGCGCCTGGTTTTATTGCGCATTGCGCTTTCCAGATAGCGTCTCCTTTTGGGGAGCAAGTTGGAGGTTGGTGACAAGCCTTGTCGGTTCCAGTTTTCCAACAGCCTGTGCTCACTTCTGTGTCTGTGCCCATTTTGGTTGTGCTCACTATTTGGAACGTTTTTCATTTTTGCAGTTACTAGCATCGCCTAAACATAACTTGTTTTTTGGGTTGGGTACTTGGGGCCTTTTTTTACCCCCCCGTTTCTTCGGGGGGGGAGGGGGGGGAGCCTTCTGCACCCTTGAAGATTGGCAGCCCCGGAAACCCAAAGAGGCCGTTCTACTCTGCTTAGGGAGTGCCAAGAAGCAGAACTGACATTGGTAGTGCGTTTGGTTTTTAAATTGGGAAACCAAAAATGTGTGTGACTAGCTTTATATTGGGAGAAAAACGAGGCTTTCGACTCCCGTAAAGAGTCGCCCGTCTCGGAGACCTGCAGCGGCAGTTCCAGCCGGTGATTCTATAGTGCTTCTGGGAGTGGGAGCCCACTGAATGGCAATGAGTTTGAGGTGGCCTGGAACCAAACGTCCAGTTTCTCAGAAGTATGTTCTGTCTTATGGAAAAGTCAACACAGTCCCTTTCCTCCCAGGGTTTAGCAGCTCAGAAAGATGTGATCAACCACTGGGCTATGACAGTACTGAGTGATGAGCTTAATGGGTGTGCTCTGGAGGGTCTTAGCAGAGGGGACAGAAAAGGCATGGCTGGGGAAAAGGGTGCTTAGTTGAGATGAGAGCCGGAACGAGTTGACGAAGGAAAAAGAATGGCAGGGTATGGGTGGTACAGATCAAGGAGCCAATGGTGCCCAGTGCTGAGGGAGGGAGAAGACTCTTGGCAGACTGCCATGCCTTAGGACTTCACTGCTCAGAGCGCGAGGAGGTGGAAGGTAACCCGGACTTTGTACACTAGTGTTCTTAGTTCCAACTTTATGCAGTGGGCGGTGGACCGCTGGGGGATTTTTATCTGGAGTGCACCCTAACAGCACCATTTCTTGGGTGCATTCACAAGGGTTCCAGAGAAAGAAAGAGTGTTCCCCAGGGGTCTCAGAGGCAGATTCTGAAGAGGTTCAACCTCCCAGGACATAGTGTTAGATAGTGTTGAAGTCTCTTGTGTTAACGTGAATGTGCACACATAGTGTTAGATAGTGTTGAAGTCTCTTGTGTTAACGTGAATGTGCACATTGTAAAGTATATGCTGTCACCAACCTCATTTTAATAGAAAGTGTTTTCTCTAAGTTCCATCGAATACACTCATTGAGGTCTCTCTCCTCCGCTCCCCATAACTCAGCCTTGCTGTGGTGTCACTGTTCACAAAGCATGATAGATGTACCTCTGTGATCCTAACAGCCATTATAGACCACGAGGAAACTGTTCGAAGTCATTTAGCAATGAAGAAACAGGCTCGGAATTAAGAAAGTTGCCTAGGTTCACACACAGCTAGTTTGTTGATATTCAAACGTATTTTGGACTCCTTGTTCTTGTATTTCTTTCAAGAATATGGGGCTGGAAATAGAGGTGTGACTGGAATCAGAGAAGACATTTAGGAAGTTGTTACATAGCTAGGGAGATGATGGTTTCAAAACGAAGATAGCTGTACTAAGGATGGAGAACAGTGAATGGATTTGAGACTGTCAGAACACTAGTGTACAAACAGCTTTGGTGATTGCTTGGATGGGCGAGGGAGTGGAGGGGCTGGCAGGCATACAGATCAAAGGCCACAGGGCAGAGTGGTAGGCTTGAAGGATTTGATGAAGTGGGGATCCCCCTGGGATATTCAAGTGTGCTATGAAGTACCTTAAAGAGATCCTCAGAATGGGAGAAAATTCACATTTCTCTGCATTGATAATATATGTCAATATTGATTGTTGATGCATCTTATTATAACTGGTTCAAACTCTGGGAGATGGTGGGACATGGACTCAAGATAGCAACATAAAGTACCTTTGATACTTTTGCAATAATTTTTCTTTTTTGGAGAGGGTGTGGTGATACTAATGTTTTACAATTATGTTTTGTCAAATAAGGTCATGTATAGTTCAGGTAGCAAATATTATAAAGATTCATAGCAGAAGCATTCAAGACCTGTAGAGGCTTAAGTGGGGCACCTCAATTTCCTTTCTCTGAGTCTAAATCAGGGGTCCTTAAACTTTTTAAACAGGGGGCCAGTTCACTGTCCCTCAGATCTGTTGGAGGGCTGGACTGTAGTTAAAAAAAAACTATGAACAAATTTCCTATGCACATTGCACATAACTTATTTTGATGTAAAAAACAGGTCAAAAGCACCCGGTGGGCCAGATAAATGTCCTTGGCAGGCTGCATGTGGCCTGCAGGCTGTAGTTTGAGGACCCCTGGTCTAAATAATCCAAAAACAAAAACACCCCAAACATTGCCACTGAGTCGATGCTGACTCATAGTGACCTTATATGGCAGGGTAGAACTGCCCCTGTGAGTTTCCAAGACTGTAACTCTTATAGAAGGAGTAAGCCCCATCTTTCTCCCGTGTTGCTCCCAGTGGTTTAGAACTGCTGATCTTGCGGATTGTGCAGCCTAACAAGTGACCATTACATTACCAGGACTCCTGTGTGAATAATCAGTCACTCTCATAGAACAGTTTATGCTCTGGGTTCTCTGGAACTGCTGAAAGCAAAGCATATAAGCTTGTAAAATATTTTGGTATGATTAACCCATTGTGGATGCATTGATAAGGATTTGAATGATCCTTTTTATGTGGGAAGTTCCCTGGAGCTAGTTGGACAACTTTTTTTAACAGTACGATGCTTACATGGTCTGTTTTACCAGTCCCGTCAACATTTTGTTCTTTAATCACCTCTGTTAACAATTTCTATTGAATTTTAGATGACTCATCCCAGGTGGATTTCTAGAGGCATAACTTGAAATTCACTGTATATAAAAAGAGAACTCCTTGCTTCATCTTGAGCGGCCTCAGCTTGAGTGGTGCGAAACCAGAAGACCAAACGCACTGCCGTTGAGCCAATATGGACTCACAGCAAGTTTATAGGGCAGAGTAGAACTGCCCCTGTGCGGTTCTGAGGTTGTGAATCTTTAAAGTCGAAAAACGTCATCTTTTTCCCTCCGGGTGGTTTCAAAATGCTTACCTTGCACTTAGCAGACCAATGCATCACCCACTGTGCCAGCAGGGAAGTGAGTACATTTTAAATTGTTGGCTCCTTTAATTACTGCATATCTAAATAGGATCCCTAGAAACTGCCTAGTCTTTTGACTAACAAATAGTTTCTATGTGTGGCACGTCTTAATCGATACTGCCATTCACAGGACTCTGCCTCAAAGCTTAGAGGTAGAATAACACGAGGACTTACAAACGGGAGGCCTGTACATTAGCCATAGCTCGTACTTCCTTTTGTGCATAGTAGGGAGCTTTGTCTACTCCTCTCCCCAACCTTTACAGTTAAAAAAACAACAAGAACCAGGGGTTCATTTAAAAACCAAAATGTGGGCGGGTGGTTTTTGTTGTTGTCCGTGTTGGTCTCTGCCCAGTGTTACCAGTTCTGTTTGCTTCCCTCATGTATTACTCTGTCCTGTTTGTTGTTGTTTTCTGTGTGTTACTTGCTGCTCTGAGAGTTAGTCTAGGATGGTGTTTTTAACTAATTCATTCGTTTATATTGCTTTTTACAATTCTCTTGTGTGAACCTATTACAATTGATTGACCTGCCCTGCTGTTGCTGGACTTATAATGTAATGACTATATAGAATGAGCACTTGAACTCAAATTTGCTGACCTTGAATGAAGCTTGTGTCTGTTAGTGGAAAAGACAGTGCAGTAATAAATACATAAGCTCTCCATCTGTATGTGTACACATACACACGTACATGGTAATCAGGGATTCATACTGACACCTCTCTTCCCCTCCACGTTTGTATATGTCCGCCCCTGCTCCCATTTAAGAGCTCTGATTTTGTACAGCAGCCATCTGGTTGCTCAGTCACAGAGTACACACAGTGTAGTGTGGTGCTGCCCCACTGTCACTACCAACAAGCCCACCAAGGGAAGCTCAGGATTTCTTGACAGTTCTTTTTGTCCTTCACCCGGATCCCATTACAGATTCCAGACCGTCACCTCAGAAGGTTACTAGACTAGGTTCATCTGCATTCCATCTGAGGATTCACTTATATATAAATACTATATAGAACAGTAACAGTACGAAATTCTTCCAACAGTTTTTTTTTATAATTTATTTTTTTTCTTAGAGAGAGTGAGTGAGAAAGTGTGTGAGTGAGTGAGAGAATAAGAGAGTGAATGAGTGAGTGAGAAAGAGAGTGAATGAGTGAGTGAGAGTGAGTCAGTCAGTGAGAGTGAGTCTTGAGCGAGAGAGTGAGTGAGTGAGTGTGAGAGAGAGTGAGTGAGTGAGTGAATGAGACTGAGTTAGAGAGTGAGAGAGTGTGTGAGAGAGAGTGAGAGTACGAGAATCCATAGTTGAAAATTAAAAGTGAAGTTCCATCCCTTCCATGCAGTTCTCACCCAGCAGTGATAAAATTTCAACCATGTATTATACTCTGCAGCATACAATAAAACCTGTCAAAGCCAGAACCTGAGTAAGGCAGGAACCTGTCCACGAAGGAAAAGTCACATATTGTTCACTCACCCGAGTGATAGAAAGTAATAAGCCCGCAGCCTGTGAAAAGTAGAAAACATGCAAGACCCAGAAAAACAAGGCAGTCCATCGAGTTATGGATGTCACAGGATTTGCTACATACAGAATAGCTTATAAAAGATACGTTAAAGAATGGGGGAAATGCCAACTACAGTTGTGCTTTTAAGGCACATAAAATATCTCCTGACTTTCAAATGATTATCACTGGAAATGCCCTTCTCAGTCGTCCTTCCTGGTAGGCCCTGGGTCATAGATGCCGTTTCAAGATACGATCGTGGAAATGGGTGATTGGAACATTTTCATTATATATAAACAAGAATCAAGAATATTTCACCAGTGATTTAGTGCTTCCACTCATCTGTTCTTCAGGGTATATTATTCTCATATTTAAAAAGAAAATAACGAATCTCCTGTTTCTGCCAAAGAAATGTTCTAAGAGATCTGAAAGTCAATATTAATGTCTCTTTCAGCATTTCCATCCCAATCATGTGAATTCTAGACTTTAAAAAAGACTAAAAGAATTCCGAAGTTTTGTGGATCAAATTTGGGGCTTTTAATTAAATTATATGTATTTTTTCCTTGCCCCCCAAGCTAAGCATCTTACTTGCTTAAGCCATTTCCTTCTTGATATGAATGATGGTTTTGAAGACTTACCAGTTTTTAATTGTCCATTGTTTCCTAAACTGTCTTTTTAATTTCATTTGCTCTCTCCTAGGGAATGAAGGATGGCAGCCCGCCGCACATTAAAAGCTGTTTTGGTGGATCTCAGTGGCACACTTCACATTGAAGATGCAGCTGTGCCGGGCGCACAGGAAGCTCTTAAAAGGCAAGCTCTCCTCCAGGTTCAGCTGACAAATATGTTTGTAAGGGCCATTTCACCAAGGCAGATCATTAGCTAAATGGATGGCTCAGAGATGGCACTTCACCAGCCTACCCTATCCACGGGAACTGCCTTGGGTTCAGCCAGAAGATAGATGTATCGTAATATACTCCAGTCTCGAAACCTCTATTGGTTTGGGCCTTTTGATCTAGTCATTCTGTTCTGTGTCTGTGTGTGTTTTTCTAAGTTGGTCATGCAAATTTTGGGGATTAAAAATTTGAGATTCTAAAATGCGGAAGAAATCCCATTGGGAAAAATCACACCCAAAGCCGGGCAGCACAAAATGAAACACACACACATGCACACACACACAGCCTTATTTCCAGCACCCTCCCCTGCTTCTGAGAGCTAGAGTGGAGTGTGCAGCTGCTCAAATAAGGTGTAATTAAAAGACTTCAATTTTTTGCATTATTTCCATTAATTATACTTAAAGTTTCCGAAGGTTAAGCCCTGTCTTATATTTTTCTTGTATCAAACAATACTGAGTCAAAGTTTAGATACAAATGGGAACCTGGTCAAAGCTCCTTAAACTAAACTGAGTGTGGGTCTTTGCTTGTGAATGACCTGAAAGAACGCTCACCACCCTGGCAGAAGTGACAGCCAGTAGTGAACACTTGCCTCCCAAGCGAACTTAGAGGACCCTTTCCAGTCCGCAACACTTAGCACTGTGCAGGTTATCAGTTTTCAATCTCAAAAGTCTCACGAAACCAAACCCGTTGCCATGAAGCCGATGTCCCCTCATAATAACCTGGGGGTTGGAGAGTAAAACTACCCCCTGGGACTTGGGGTTGGGTTTCTGCCTCATCTTGGCAGAAGCAGTTCACCATGCGTTTCTTCCATGGAGCTGCTGGTGCTGGGGTCATTCAACCCACCCGCTTTCAGGTTAACAGCTGACCACAAGCAGCATGCACTCCCGGGCTCCAGGGTTAGCTGTCAACCAGTGGTCTAGTGACTGGTATAGTGCCAGGCCCAACACAGATGTGCACTCTCTCAAGGAATATACTCGCCATCTGAGGAATCAAAAACAGTTCCAACTCCTAGTGACCCTATGGGACACACAGGACCCTCTGGGACATTCCAACTCATAGCCACTCCGTAGAATAGGACTGCTCTACAGGGAGGTTTCTTTATAGAAGTGGACTGCCTCATCTGCCTCCCCCTGAGCAGCTGGTGGCATCAAACCCAGATCTTCTCGTTAGCAGCCTAACACTTAACCCGCTGTGCCACAGAACTTCTTCTAAAGGAATACCTAACTGGGAGCTCTCTTTTGAGCTCGGAGTGTGTGATGTTCATTATCGAGGCGTCCAGCATGTTTCGGGCCAAGAGAAAGTTGCAGGGGGGGCAGCCTCTTGGCTCCTTGGTGAGGGCTTACTGTTCACTAAGCTTTCCTGGGAAAGGGCGTCAGTGGTCGGTCAGTACTATGGAGACGAGAGTCCACTCTGGATTAAAGAACAGTCTCTGTGTTTCAGGTGAAAAATGACACTTTTGGGTGGCTCTGTAAACTGCACGCTGGCCAGCCCGGGAACACAGAAGCCCACAGATCCCCTGGCTGCCGCGCTGCGGGGGTTCCCAACCAGAGAAACTGCTGTATGAGCACTGCCCAGTTTGGGTTTCGATAGAAACAAATAGAGAAGGGAAGTCGAGGGACTAGTGAAAAGAATAGGAAACGCAAAACTCATTAGACATTGTGGTTGTTTCCATACTTAACATTTATTTCATTTTGAGAACAGCAGTGATTGTTGAAGTATCAATTTCTGTTGAGAGAGAAACCACCACGTTTAATTTCCTGTTTTGTTTCTCAGAAAAGCTGCCCCACAAATATTAGGTGATTATGAGTACAGTGAATTATTTAATCATAGGAATTTATGAGCAAGTACTTACAGGTCTCTTTTCTGTTCTATTGCTTTGCTTGTTTTAAATTGCGCCGAGTGTTTTATGCCTTGTGGACTTTGAGGGAAAGCCTAAAATGAAAGACAACAAGGTATTAATAAAAAATTTTGAACTGTAGCTAAATCAAAATTGGTTTTTAGCTTTTGGATTATTTACTGTAAGACCATCCATCTTCGTTTTTGAAGAGGGTGAGGCTCTGTAAGGGGGCTTCAAAAAGTTGGTAGAAAAATGGAATTAAAAGGTCATGGAACTGCTTCAAAAGCATTTGAAGCTTCCTTGTATTTTCAGTTCTTTCTCTGATGCTGATTGCCAGATTGATTTTCAAAAGCAAAGCAGAGAATCAAAGCAATCATGCGTAGAAGGGGCTCAAGGGGGAAATCCTTTTCTTTGAGTTGTCCAGGTAATGTCTCTGTATGCATGTGGTAAACGGCTTGGGCTGAGGCAGGCTTCAGCTGCTTCAGAAGAGCAGACAGTATCTTGTGGTGGCCTTCGTCCTCTGGCGGTGGTTGGGTGCTGTCCCAGGCCACAGAGCTGAGCTCTTGCCCCAGCTCCACTGCTGGCCAGTTGGACGAGGCTGAGCAGGTCACCCTCCGTGGGTGGGTGTCACCGAGTGGAGGCCCCGCAGGAGAGGAGGGCAGCCCCGCGGGGTTTTCTAGACTGTCACCTTCGCAGAAGGAGATGGCCAGGCTTGTCGCCCACTGAGCTGCTGGATGGCTTTCAGCCCCCACAGTTTCCATTAGCAGCCAGGTGCTTAGGTGCTCATGCCACCTGGGCTCCAGAAAATAATGTGTAGGATAGCAGTTACTGAATTTTGCATTTCACTAAAGTTTGGGTTTACTTTACTAAAATTTCATAGTAACATTTAAGGACAGAAGCCCCACAAAAAGATTGACCTGGCTTTCCTAATTGGATTTGACCGCCTTTGGAGGTACAGCCACCCAAAGGAAACAGAGTTTTTAAAAGTTTTTTGGCCTTAAAAAAATACTTGGTGGTGCACCCTTCGTGTTCTGATCTCTGGGGCCCAGCTACCCAAGTGGGAGATGTGATCGCGCTTGAATGTAAACTTGCTGCTGCCCATTGATTATTTCTCCAGGTTACGAGGTGCCTCGGTCTGGATTAAGTTTGTGACCAACACAACCAAAGAGAGCAAGCAAGACCTACTGGAGAGGTTGCGAAAATTGGAGTTTGATATCTCTGAAGATGAAATATTCACTTCTCTGACTGCAGCCAGAAATTTAGTGGAGGAGAAACAAGTGCGGCCCATGCTGCTACTTGATGATCGGGCACTACCTGATTTCAAAGGTGGGGAACCTGGGCAAGATTTAAAAATGGATTTTTTTTCTCTCTGCTTATGCATCCTTATGGAAATGGGATGCTCAGACATATTTATCCTTATTTGCTCCCATTATTGAAATGATAATACTGATAGAGTTTGAATTCACATTGGTGTTTTTTCCAAACTTTTTGACTGGAATCCAAAGTGAGTAAAGCAAGCTGTGTTCGCTTACATAGTATATTACATGACGTGGAAGTCCAGTGTATGTGCATATGTGTCTTTATGTTTGTCAGACAGTACTTGCTCTTACTGGGTGAGAGGCGCTCTCGGTTGCTTATTTGGTTTACTTTGTAATTCTTTGGTTTTGATGCTGCTAGGACCACCAGATTTGTTCCCCAGTCTCTTAATGTGAAATAACTCAGGTCACACTCACTTCATCCAGAATCACTGGATTAACTTGACTAAATGAAATGTGAACAAAGAGCTTGAAAAAATAGGTCAGTCTGTGTGATGTGAAGTCTTTACAATGAACACGAAATACTTTTCAAGTGAGAGAAACAAGCTCGTTTCACTTGGGGGTGGGGGAGGACTGTGGAGAAGGAATAGCCTTCTGAGCTTGGCCCAGGGAGGCTTTTCACAGATGACACTCGGAGAGAAGAGTGGGTGTGACTCCAGTCAACATGAAAGCACAGGATGGTTTTACAGGGAGCTATTTGGGAAGTTCAGTGGGGTGTCCCAGTTGGGCGGGACCTCCAAAATTTCACTACCAGGAGAGCTAGCAGTTTATCCATCAGAGTTAAATGTAGAAACAGAAGCCAGCTTAGGCTGAATGAAAGAAGACTTGAATTTGCTAAAAAGATCTCGCCACTGACTAGACTGTAAAACGATACAACTCCTGTGGAGGATACTTTGGCAACTTGAACAAAATTGCCTGTGAAGCAGCTGTCCTTGTAGAACTCTGTCTCCAAGATACAGTAGTAACTAGAGCACACAGGGGACTTCCAGAGGAAGCTGTATATGGACCCATGGTGGCTAGTTGGTTAATGCACTGAGCGGCCAATCATGACGGCGGTGGTTCTAACTCACTGGACATTCTGCAGCCTTTAAAGGATTTAAAGGTGTGGAAACCCAAAGGGGCAGGTCTTCTCTGCCCTACAGGGTCACTCTGAGTTAAAATCGGTTCGATGGCAGCAAGTTTTTCTCGTGGGTATGGGAGGCAGTGTGATACATACAAAGTCGACAAATTGGATACTGCAAAGCCAGAGCACAGCTTGAAAAGCGTGGAAAAGAAAGAGAAAATTGAATACAGCACATACATGGAAGGTGTGAGTGCAATTTAGTGTTGAAAATGTAAGACTTTATAGCAATTTTCATAAATATTTTGAAGATCTAAATTTTTCTTCAAATTATGCAGTGAACATTTCAGACACGTTTTAATATATAGAAGTCAATGGATAATTCATGTTAAATGTTTCAGAGGTGAGGTTCGTTTCTACCTTTGTTATAAGAAAAATTCTAACTTTTAAGAGTTTCTGTGCACAGGTGGAGAAGTTGTGTCATTTTATAACAAGAGTGAAACATTTTCATTTTAGTAAGGGAGTTTGAACGCTGACAGGCCCATTTTGGGTTGCAGAACATTTGAATCTCTACTTCCTGTACCACACTCACTACGAGTGAGATGATTACGCGAGAGAACAGAGAGGAACGTCTCCCGTGGGGTCCAGAGGCTGTAGATCTTTACGGGGCGGAAAGTCTCATCATTCTCTTGCAGAGTGACTTAGGGGCTCGAATAACTGACTTTGTCAGTCAAACACATAACCCACTGTGCCACCAGGGCTCTCTGTTGCACAGTAACGCTTTATTTCTGGCCCTGTAAGAAAAAATGGCAAATTGGAACGGCCTGATTTGGTTCTTAATAAAGGTGAGTGATACTTAAGGAAATTTCCAATGCATGCAATTTACACTGTTCAAGTGTATCTTCGGATCAAAGGACACCTTGTAAAATATAACGACAGAAACTACTTGCAGTAAAGCCAGTGTGCACTTCATCTATCTCAGGCTACCTAACACTACGTTAAACTATCCTGCTTTTCCTTTTTTCATGGGGGAGCAGAGTGGGGAGTGGTATATGGCATGTTAGCCGTATTTTGAAATCTGGAGCTGATAGCGGTTAACTGGTGCCAGTTTTGGAATCAGCAGATCAGATATACCCAGAAACAGGTCTAACACTTGAGGCACCAAAATTATCTTGGCCAGTGTAATGAAAGTGCTTCAGGCAGGCAATGAGATGGGATTGGCCTGTGGATAATCCACAGACATGGTAATGGGGCTTTTAATAACTGCCATTGTGACTGTGCTTGTTTGGTTGCCCTCTCGAAAGCCCTGTTACCAGATGCCAAGGTCTTAAAGCATGCTCTATTTATAATATTTGTGAAACTAGAAGTAGATTGGGCCTCGTGTAGGAAAATGGAGACTCCACAGTGCACACCCTGTTAATCAAGAATGTGTTGGCCTCCCTGTGTCAATTAAAGAATCCAATTTCCCTTGCTTCTGAGATCCTCAACCCTCATCATTTGCTATTGATCTGGCCTTCATGGGGAACTCAGAGCTGTTTTGGCTGATGGTAATCAGTGAAGCTTTCAGAAGAGTGACATTGGAACTGGTTTGAGAACACTAGGTTACAATTTCCAATTTAGATCTGGTTACACAGCTAACTAGTAAGACCATGCAAATGGAGTTTGTAAAATACTAAAAGACTCCTATACTTTCAGAGGGGTAATGGGGAGGAGATGAGTCACTTAGGGTTCAGTATAGCAATAATGAAACCCACAACCTTCCTCTAGTTCTTAAATGCTTCCTCCCCTCAACTACCATGACCCCAATTCTGCCTTGCAAACCTGGTTAGACCAGAGGATGAATAGCGGTATAGATGGGAACTGGAAACGCAGGGAATCTAGGACAGATGAACCCCTCAGGGCCAGGGGTGACAGTGGTGATGCCAGGAGGGAAGGGGGTGTTAGAAGGGGAATTGATCACAGGGAGTTACATATAACCTCCTCTCTGGGGGATGGGCAGCAGAGGAGTGGGTGAAGGGAGACGCCAGGCAGTGTAAGATAAGATATAATAATAATTTATAAATTATTAAGGGTTCATGGGGGAGGGGGAAGGGAAGGGGAAATGAGCTGATTCCGGGAACCCAAGAGGAAAGCAAATTTTGGGAATGATGAGGGCAACAAATGTATAGGTGTGCTTTACACAATTGATCTATGTATTGTGATGAATTGTATGAGCCCCAATAAAATGATTAAATATATATATATATATATTAAAAGACTCCTTCCTATTTTCCTTTCAAAGACACTGAGCAGGTTAATCTCTTAAAATTAAGGCTGCAGCAAAAACTTTTAAAACGTCAAACCAGATTTATTTGCAATCCCTAGCAAGGATGTATACACATCTATTTTATCATCCCCAGGAATAGAAACAGGTGATCCGAATGCTGTGGTCATAGGATTGGCACCCGAACAATTTTGTTACCCAATTCTGAATCAAGCGTTTCGGTAAGTGTTAGCTCTTTATCATTCATCTGATTATATGCATCCCTTCTGAAATCTTTCCATGTGAGCTTTTGCTTTCTGGGTCCCCTAGATAATATGTTAGGATTGATAGCATCAAGAGCAATAGCATATAATAACATTTTTGTTTTTTAATTATCAATATGTTAAATTGTCATAATCACTGGTTTATATAATCAATGTTCTGGTGCAAAAATTCATAATAAAATTGCAACTTTTAATTTTAGTGGCTATTTCTGTTATTAATATTTTAACTCTGATGTCCCTCTAATTGTGTCTACTGAGTTTATAAGAAAGAAAGATGGCATCTAACCTGATGTGTGACAAACAGTAGATGTGATTCTCCCCTGAGAGAGAACCAGGCAGGAGTGGACATGTGACCACAGCGTCACAGAAATTATTTGATGAGTGATCACTAGCACCTGGACAGCGTTGTGGCTGCAGAAGGGAAGAAAACCTCAGGAGAGTTTCAGAAGTAGCGCCGTGGGACGCGATGGGTGCTTGGACCCTGATGATGAAGATGACCGGTGACAGAGGTGATGCATGTCGGTCGCACGAGAAGCAGGGTGATGCTCGCCATCTTCACTGGTGGCACGTGCATCTTGCTGTTTGCTCTGCTGCCCACTGCCGGCCACGTGCTTCCCAGGGCACCTGTGCATCTCTCCCAGAGCGAGGTCACACCTTGTTCCTAGGTTTCTCACCGTGCCTTTCACTCCTCGTCAGAGCACTACGCAGTCGAGCCTCATTTGAACTTAAGTAGTTCAAAATGTTGCCTAGGGATCCATTGAGTTCACGTTTTTAAAAATGCGTTGGTTGTTTTTAAATAGCCTCATGTGTTAATACCCTGCTGCCGTAACAGAGATGTGGAGAGAAATGAGAGAAAAGTATTTTCTCAGTTTAGGGACTAGAAATCCGGATTCAGGTACCAGCTCTAGCAGTAGCTCTCGCTCTTCTCTCTTGCTCTCGGGGAAGCTCCTTGTCTATTATTTTCAGCTACCGTTCCTCAGTTCCTTGATTATTCTCCTGTCCTGGGCCTTTCTCTTCTCCCATCAGCACTTGCTTCCTTGTGTCTAGTTGACTCCTTTTCTAGCTCAAGGTGATTGGTTTAAGACACACCCTACACCTCTATGGCCTCCTTAACACAGTGAAGCAAAGTCTATTCCCCAAAGGGATTAATATCCACAAGGCTAGGGGTTAGGGTTTACAGGACATATTTTGTGGGATACAGATCAATCCACAACACCTATTCCGTGTTTAGTGTGTGGCTGCCAGAATGACATAAAAACAACATTTTCTCCCTAGTAGGACAAGCAGTTCTGTAAGAATCATTCTTATGTATGATTCATATGGAATGCATTTCTTGATGTGTATATCCTAGACTGTTTGTAAGACGCTTAAGGACATCTGGGCATATTGCTTGCTCTTGACCCTGAAAATTGCCGCCCTTTTTACCAGCTCAGTGGGCAGAAGTGGCCTGCTGGGAATGAGTACCACCTTTCCTTAGGTGCAGAGAAGGTTAGAGCCTCAGTTAATGGGAAGCCTGGGCACCTTATGCACTTTCATTTGTGATTCTGAGTCACTGTGATTTCCGAAGCCTTTGAGGAAAAGGAATGAACTCCAGTCTCCATCTTCTGTATTTATTTCCTGTACAGTCAGGGCTGTGCCACATGGCTTAAAGATGGACGCCAAGGTATGCGTTAGTCAAAGTTGTCTCACCCTTCTTCAACTTCCTGGGAGGATTATCCCACCTCCGCCTCCTAAGTAAGGGCTGCACCTATCCCAGCATCAAGGGTCCTGTGAAATGGACAAACTCCTATTGGTTTTCCCTTCCAAACGTACCTCCTCAAACTTTATTCATTTCCTTAACCAGAAAATTCAAGGAGAAGGTATCAATTGATTTTTGTTGGTCTTTTGGGAAGGAGGATATCTTTAATAGGAAGTCGGGTGGTCTCTGTCTTAGATGAGTACTAGGCTCAGGGTAATAAAACTGCATGGTGGCATGATACCGGCCTTGTAATTGCTCGGATGCTGTCTAATTAGGACACTTTCCTAACCATATTGATTTTTTTTAAACACTACATTTGAAAGCATTATGATGCACTTATAGGTCAACTCTTAATTTCACAAATGCACTTAACTGCTGGGGGAAGAGTTAACAGAAGGATTTTAGGTCTTGCCCTTCTTTGCATATTGATGTTTCCACAGAGACCCTGCCTTCTAACCAATGAGTGCAGCTGTTTGCATTGTGTGTGGCAAATGTTGACGTCTCACATGAACCACTAATAGTTAAATTACCATCCAGATTGATTATGAAAATAAACATTGAATCAAAACCGAGTTGCCTTGAATCCCAGCATAAGGGGCATACTGCCTTCAGGCATCCCGATGAACCTTCCACATCTCACTGCCTCTTACTTACTGTGCTTTTTAACGCTTGGTCCCCGCCTCCACCTCACCCCCAAATGCATGCTACGGTCTGTCTACAAATGTGTCTTAAATGTCCAAAGGAAATTGAGATAAGTGAATTTTAAAGAATTGATTTGAGGGCAGATTGATTTTTTTTTTGTTAAGCAGTGAACTAGTTCTGAGGAACAGATATGATTTGGGTTTGTATCCTATGAGATATTCAAATCTTAAGGTCTATTAGCAGCTTCTTTTTAACCTAACACCAAAAGATACAAACAATAATATATTGCGTGCCTATAATTCAGTCAGTTAGTTTAAGAACTACAAACCCAACATATCCCCTGCGTATCTCTGCCTGGGTGCATCATCCAGGACCTAAAAGTACTTCCCATGATAAATTTAGGGTTGACTGTTCTCATGTTTCTCTTTATTCTTACAACATACATGTATGTATCTCTAAGCAGTATTTAATATTGCTTCCCGTGGTTATATTGTACGTACAAGTGCTAATTAACTTGTTTTCTTCCCTAATATTAGTGTATCAATAGGAATATTTATAGCTCTAGTTGATTCCTTCTTCAGCAGTCTTACCTCCTTTCAGCAGTGTTTTTTCATCTTCTGACCTGAGTTAGAAATCCAGGGCTCAAGCATTGTAATAATGCACCAGTCATCACTAAATTGGATGATCGCTGTGCAGAGGAAAATGGGTAAGCAGATCACTTACTAGTCGGTCTAACCTGAACTTAATATCAACAGGACTAAAAGCTATCTCATCACAAAAGCATTGTCTTCATGATGGAAAACTCCAAACTAAAATGACCGGTAACCCACCACCTAAAGAGGACCACAGTTAGCAGTTCAGCTCCAAGCTGTTTCATTTGTTTCTATCTGCATGTTATTATGCAAAACAAAAGATTTGATTTGTCCAACATATTCAAGAAATACAACAAATTATTTGGCCATGTGTTTCAGATTTTGGGTTATCGTTCTTATACACGAGTGCCTCTGGATTTGTTTCTCTAGTTAACCCAAACTAACACACCAGGTTTTTTAAAATAGTTTTTAAAACACTTGAGAGAATATTTGTGTTGAACGATATTTATGGTTTTTTTTTTAAAGATTTTTTTGCCCCTAGAAATAGTTCCCAGCGCAAACAATTATGAAAAAAACTATATGGCATTATAAGGATAAAGCATTTGTTTAACCTTGGTAATGATTCTGTAGCTTCTTCAAGAGCTTATTAAAATGCTGTTTTGGAAAAAAAAAATGCTGTTTTGAGGAATGGGAGTAGTAATAGTAGGAGGGTAGGGAGAAGGTGGGGAGATGAGGGGAGGAAGGGGAAACCAACGGCAATGATGGGCACATAACCACCCCCCAGGGGGCCGAACAATACAAATCATGGGGGATGGGAGACAGCAGTTGGTATAAGAAGAGAATAATAATTTATAATTTATCAAGGGGTCATGAGTGGGGGAGGGAAGGGAAAAAGAGGAGCTGATACCAAGGGCTCAAATAGAAAGTAAATGTTTAGAAAATAATGTTGGCGACATAGGTACAAATAATGCTTGATACAATTGATGTAAGAGCTGTTAAGAGCCCCCCGTAAAATGATCTTGTAATATCGGGGAAATGCTGTTCTGTTGTTCCTAGGTGCCCTCGTGTTGGTTCCAGCTCCTCGTGGCCCCGTGTAAAGCAAAAGGAGAGACTGAGTGGCCCTGCACATGGCTGTGTTGAGCCCACGGCTGACGCCACTGCCAGTCTCTCGGTGAGGGTCTTCCCTCAGTTACCAAGCATGTTCTTCAGGGCCGGATGCCTCCTGATAACATATTCACAGAACATGAGACAAAATCTTGCCCTCCCCCCTTGAAAGGAGCATTTTGGATGTACTTAAAGGAAATTTGCTTGTTCTTCTGGTAGGCCATGTATTCTTTGCCAACACCATAATGAAAACATCCAACACCATAATGAAAACATCCATTCTTCTTTGGTCTTCTTTAGCCGTTGTACAGCGTTGACCTGTATATGTGCTTGGGAGCACTTTAATCCTCAAAAACGACATCTCGGGTTTTTTAAATCATTTTATTGGGGGCTCGTACAACTCTTATCCCAGTCTATACATGCATCCATTGTGTCAAGCACATTTGTACATTTGTTGCCATCGTCATCCTCAAAACATTTGCTTTCTACTTAAGCCCTTGATATCAGCTAATTTTTCCCCTCCCTCCCCGCCCCGCCTCCCTCATGAACCCTTGATAATTTGTAAATTATTATTATTTTGTCATGTCTTACGCTGTCTGACGTCTCCCTTCACCCACTTTTCTGTTGTCCAACCCCCAGGGAGGGGGTTATATGTAGATCCTTATGATCGGTTCCCCCTTTCTTCCCCACCTTCCCTCCACCCTCCCAATATTGCCACTCTCACCACTGGTCCTGAGGGGTTCATCTGTCCTGGATTCCCTGTGTTTTCATTTCCTATCTGTACCAGTGTACATTCTCTGGTCTAGCCAGATTTGTAAGGTAGAATTGGGATCATGATAGTGGGGTAGGGGAGGGAAGCATTAAAGAACTAGAGGAAAGTT